CTCAGTACAGGCTGAGCCACCGAGCCCGGCTTGGCCCCTCTTTTTCAAGATTATTATTCTTTTAATTTTAAGGATAGGATCTCTCTATGTAGCCCAGGCCAGTCTCGAACTCCTGTCCTGTCGCCTCCACCTCCCGAGTGGCTGGGCTTACAGGCTCAAGTCCACCTCTTACCTAAGTTACTTCGCCTGCCTGGGCCTCAGTTTCCCCGTCACGCCCACCCCTTGAGTGTGTCTGCGGGTGGGTCTGTGGGCCACACTCACCTCTCACAGCCTGTGAAGACAAAGCGCCGCAGCTTGAGGTCACGCAGGACCAGGCCGTGCTGGTGACAGTGCGCCACGGCGACGGCCATCTGGCGGAAGAGCACGGCGGCCTCAGGCTCGGGGACGCGGCGGCGGCGGCGCACCAGGCTGTGCATGTCCCCGCGGGTCCGAGGGAAAAAGGCACAGAGGAGCCCGGGGTGGGCCAGGACCTCAGCGGGCCGCGCCACGTGCTCGTGGGGAGGCAGGCGCGCGTAGGGCTCCAGCACAGCCAGGGCCTCGCGGGCGGGGTACACCTGTGGGCGGGGCGGGCGTGAGCACTGGGGTCCCCAGGGCTTGGGCGGGCCTTGCCGAAGGCTGCAGACAGCCCTTTGCGAGTCACTCCCCCACGGCAGCCCTACACACGGGAGGACTTGCCCGTTCGCAGTCAGGGGAGCCCATAGGTGCGCAGCCGGCGGCACAGCTGGGTCTGGAACCTACGGCTCCATTGTCTGCTCTTAACTGCTGCCCTAGGCGGCCTGAAACAGCACATAACTGAGAATAACAGGTTGCCCAAACAGAAAAATAACCCTCAAGGCAGGGGAAACGCAGTCTATCCTCACCACGGCGGCCATCCTCCACGCCCTTGCAGTCAGCAGCCTGGCACTGAGCCACCCCGGGGCAGCTGGACTGACGGCCAGGGCCCCTCTCTCCTGGTGCCCACTGGGAGACAGCGTAAACATGCCAGCAAATGAAATGTTTGCAAGTTCTGATAAGCGTAGCAAAGGCAGCAAGAAAGATGCGGGGACAGAGTGTTTTGGAAGAGAGCACCTCTCTTAGAAAGGCCCAGGAGGGATTCTGGGGAGTCCATCTGGACGATTCAGAGTTGCCCCTGGAATGAGCTTTCCAGGTAGAGGGGCGGGGCACAGGCAGGGCCAAGGCCTCGAGGCAAGAAAGAACCCAACTGCTCTGGAAACTCAGCTGAAGATGAGTGTGGCAGTGTGGCCGGGATGGGTGGGAAGGAGGACCAGGTGGTCAGACAGCCAGGGTGATGGGAACGTGCTCAGGGTTTATGGGCATTACGGTGAAAGCTCGCCCTAGCCCTGAAAGCTGTATCCCATTTTACATATGGTAAGACTGAGATTCAGAAAAGGGAAGTGACTTGTTAGACACCATACAGCAGACTGAAGGCAGAGCCAAAATAGTCTCTTAGGTGTGTCTGACTTTAAACCTTTCACATGTTGGCTATGCCACGTGGCCAAATACATAAATACATATTTAATCCATGAGAAAAAATGTGAAGTATGTGATTCAATAAAACACCAGCTGGGGTGACATGCGGGAAATAACCCTAAAACAAAGACTAAGGCAAGTTAGGGCAAGCCCACTCCTGCCTCCGGGCATTTGCACCTGCTACACCTGCAGCTGGACACTCTTCCAGACCCACAGGGCTGGTTCTTCCACCAGGCAAGACGCTGCTCAGACGTCTCCCCCTCAGAGGTCTTCCTGGGCCTCCCTAGGTAAACTCCCTGCACCTTATCCCTCTGTCTGCCTGTTCCCAGCTTCATTTGTCGCCATAGCACTTACACACCTGTCACATATTTCACATATTCATTCGTTTATTGTATCTCCCACTAGAATGTCAGCTTGGTGAGAGAAGAACATTTTTTTTTCCTGAGTCAGGGTCTCACTCTGTCACCCAGGCTGGAGTGCAATGGCACAATCATAGCTCACCGAAGCCTCGACCTCCTGGGCCCAGGCGATCCTCCTGTCTCGGCCTCCTGGGTAGCTTAGACTACAGGCGCATGCTTCCATATCCAGCTAATTTTTAAATTTTTTTGTAGAGATAAGGTCTCACTCTGTTGCCTGGGCCGGTCTCGAACTCTTGGACTTAAGCAGTCCTCCTGCCCCAGCATCCCAAAATGCTGGAATTACAGGCGTGAACCACTGTGTCCAGCGCTCCCCGCCTTTTTTTTTTGAGTTGGAGTCCCACTCTGTTGCCCAGCCTGGAGTGCAGTGGTACACTCACGGCCACCCCAGCATCGAGCTTCTGGGTTCCTGCGATCCTTCCACCTCAGCCTTCCAAGCAGCTGGAACTACAAGGCACACACTACCACACCTGGCTAATATTTTTGAGTTATTGTAGAGATGAGGTCTCACCAAATAGCCCAGGCTGTGCTCGAACCTGTGGATTCAGGCAATCCCCTCACCTCGGCCTCCCAAAGTGCTGGGATTATAGGTTTGAGCCACCATGCCCAGCCCTTTGTTTTTTAACCACAGCACAGTACGTGCATGCACGGGTGCTCAGTGAAGGTTTGTTGAATTAATGGACAAGGTGGTAATCTATGAAAGCAGGACATTGGCCTTCTCCACACAGACCAGGAAGTCTGGAAACAACAGTTCAGCCCTGCAGTTCACTCTTGCACAGGGGTGAGTCTGTCCCAGTGGGCTTCCCTAGAGTTTCTGGAGAATCGGGGTCCTGGGGAAGCACAGTGCTTCTGCCCTGAGCCTGCCTGGGCCACTCCTCTTAGCATGGGTGTCCTCCCCAGTGGACTGGAAAAGACCCTGTGATGCTGGGCAAGGGACCCAGAGTTCAGGGCTCCTCTAAGCACCTGGGACAGAGCTCTGGGGACCTGCATCAGCCACCCAGAGTCCAGGTGAAGCTGAGGCCTGACCATATCCGATCTGTGACCCTGCCCACTGCACCCCGATCCGCAAAGCAGATCCAGCCGCTGCCACTCTCAGCAGGAGGCTGAAGTTCCTATGCCTGTCTGCATTCCCAAGGGACCAGGCCCCCACCCGCGCCCCCTGTGTACCCACATCTCCCTATCTTCCTACCCCTGCCTGGCCCTGCTCGTGTCTGAAACACTTGTCCTAGCACAGGACACAGAGCTCTCTGGGCTCAGCCTGCCAGGCCCAGTCTCTGACACCTCCTGGTTCTGTGATGTGGCGAGTCACCACACCTTTCTGAGCCTCGGTGTCCTCCATCTGTAAAATGAGCAAATAATGGGAACCATCTTATTGGACATGTGAAGATTAAAAGAGATTGTGCACACAAAGCAATCAACATAGTGCCTGGTACACAGTGAATGTCTATTGTTACACTTTTCATCCTCTCTCTGTCCCTTTGGACTGTGACCTGCCCGTGTCCTGCGAGGGCTGGCCCTCAAGGGGCCTTGGCCTGTCCACTTCCTGATTTCTGCCAGCAATCCTTAGACTTCTCTTTCCCTCACCCTAATACCTGGCCCAGCGCTAGGTGACTTCATGCGCCTTTCCTTTTCCTGGTCACAGTTTCCCTGTCTGTAAAGTGGGCACAATCACCACTAGGGTTCTGGGAATTCTAATATCTACCATACCTTAACGTTCTCTTGTGCAGACATCTTCTGCAGCTCCCCACAGCCCAGGGGAGGCACCTCCCTTTCATGACCAATTGTGGCTCCCCCGGTCACCTGCCCCTTTCTGCACTCCCCATCCACTCCAGCGGTCGTGAAGTCTCTCGTTCTCTTAAGTGCCACGCGGACTCTTCTAGGGGTTCCCCTTGGCTGCAACTCCCTGCTCTCCCTTCCACCTGGCTAACTCCCCTTCAGCCTTTCCTGACACCCCCGTAAGTACACCGGAGGCATCTCCTTTGCCTCCCACGGTCCCTAGGTTCAGAGCATTCATCACACCGTCAGGCTTATGCCGTGAATTCTCCCAGGCTGGGACCACATCTGGTTCACCTCCAGCCTCAGCCTCACCAGGAGCTCAGACCTGCTTCCTCAGTAAACACAGGAATGCAGGACTCTAAGGACCCTCGGTGCCTGGCAACCCTCCAGGGGCCCCCTCCCCAGGCCTCCTGTGATGCTGGAGGGAGTAGCCCACGGACGCATACCTTGCAGGTATATTCGGTGGCTGTGGGGCAGTGCAGGGCCCGGTAGGCCCGGCCCCCCTCCTCGGGCTCCAGGAGGACATAGGGCCCTAGACGGGAGGTGGCGCTCACAGCAGATGTGTGATCTGGAGCAGGGGGTCGGCTCAGGGGCGGGAGGCAGCGGGGCGGCCTGGATGGGGGCTCACTCCGAGCTTGTTTCTGGACAGGACATGCCCCTTCAAAGTCATCATCCAACTCCAGCCGCTTCTTCCTGGAACGGGCACCCACAGGAGCAGCCATGGGGGAGGCTCGCATCTAGAAACAAGGGGAGGAAGGCACCAAGATGAGGCTGTCGCTGGCCCTGCTTTCCCCCTCGTGGAAGGTTGCCTGGTGCAGCCTTTATGGAGTGTGACTTGGCGGCACGTGTTCAATGACAAAAACAAGCCAGGCTTGGTGGCTCAGCCTGTAATCCCGTGCCTTGAGAGGCTGAGGTGAGTGGATT